CATCATTCTTCCTCATTTTTCCCAACCCCAGCCATCCCCACAATAAATTGGCTATTTTTCCTTTGAGAGTGCCTCTATTTTTTTTGCAAAAAATAAACATCTAAAACTTGATACTTTTGTAAACCAGGGCAAAAGGAAAGTTAGACATTCTGTTTGCTTTGAGGGCTCACACAAGCGTCCCCAGACTCATAACTAGAGGGGGTAGGCAAGAATGGGAAATTCCTCACTCATGTACTTTCCTGACCTCCCAAGGTGGAGGTCCTGTGTGCTGTTATTTTTACCAGGCTCTTCCATATTCTTTCACTTTTTCCCAGGGGCGTAGTGTTGACTGGGAGAGGGCACAGATAGATGTTTAGGAGTTTGTGAAACTGAGTTTTTAGACTCCAGGACCAAAGTCAAAATGTTTTGAATGAATCTGGCCAATCACCCACATAGGCACCAAAGATAAAGGGTAGAGAAAGGGATTACATACATTTCAGCCATGAGAAGACAGCCCTCAGTCCAACTTCGGCTCTGCAAGATACACACATTGGCTTAATGTTATATAGGAAGATTTGGGGACAGGAGTATTAAGGTTTTTGGTAGTTAAAAACAGTCTTATAATCACAGATATGTGGCCTGGCTCACTGAGACTTTGGAGGAGTTCATTTCATTTGAGCTGTTATCACTGTACCACTGAAACAGGAAGAGGAACAAGTTGCCCAGCCAGTGATCTCCTGAATTTGTAGCTGTTTCTTTCAAGATGTTAATACATCTGTTTGTTGGAGGGACAGTTTGCCTTCTACCCAGAATGCTTCTCAGTGTATTTTCTCTTTCTTGGAATCAAAGCTTATTGCAAAGGGACTGCAGCAGAGGATAACTCAGATCAAAGGGCACAGACAGAACTGTTAGCTTTAAATATATTGTTATCATTAGTACTCAAGGTATGCACTTCAGACTTGATTGGAAATAGTGAAAAATGTTAAGTTTTTGAAGGTGCTAGACTTTCCACTAGATCTACTCAATAACTTGGAGACAAGCTACTTTCAAGGGGTGGCAAAGACACCATTTGATCTAGGAAAAGCATAACAAGTTACTGCGTTTTTAAAAGAAGAGATGAGACATAAGGAAAGCAATGTTGTAGAGATGCTGTTCTGTACAATACACAATGGGTCAATGAAGAGTCTGGATTCAGACATTACAATTAGAAATATGGCATGGCAATGCAAGCTAAAGTGGACCTGGATACAATCCAGAAGTAAAGCCAGAAAGGAAACGCTAAGACAAGAGAAGATATAACTTGAAAATACAAAATGATAAACCTAGATAAGCTGCAAAGAGAAGAAGAAATCAAGCATATTAGTAATCAGTTTTATTCTGTCAAAAACATGTAGTCTTTAAAAGCATAAGATTTCTCAGATGTCACCTTCACCAGAATTGAACCAAGCCTCCCAGAATATATTTTGCATGCTTCCATTTGCCAAATTTTAGGAGGAATACTCTGTATTTTCGCTTCTAAGTTAGCCCAGAGCTATTTGGAGGAGGGACCACAGCATCTCTGTAAATCTCATACCTAATGTAGTGAAAGCACACAGGAAGCCAGAGAAGAAAAAGCAGAACTGAACTGATGATAATTTATTATAAGAGATGGGCATGAAATTCAAGTACACTGCACATGAAATGTACATACCACACTGAATGAACTGTTAATTCACACAGGTATACAACATAAGACAAGCTGCCAGAAGACATTAATAATACTTCTGTTTCAATAGTTTGCAGCCACAATGTAAGTTCCTTCAGGACAGAATTCCAAATTATTTTGAACAGTCTAGGGTGTCTAGCACAACAATGTAAGTACAATGAGTGGATACTTAATTGGAATTGTTACTCTTTAAAAGTCATCACCAATACACAAACATTAATTCTCTTTTACCAATACTATTGTAACATAAAACATTTATGTCTCAAGATAGAACCCAAAGTTCTCAAAAATCACTTGAGATTTTTCTTCTGCTCGTAAACATGCTTTCTATACAAAGTATAAACAGATTAGGAGCTATTGAAGCTATTAGAAGCTATTTTGGAATTTACAAGAGAAAACTAAAATTGAGGGTTTTTCCCCTTAAGATTTGGTTTAAAAGAAGGAAAGAAGCATTAGACTTCTATCCATTCTATCCATTAAAGAAAAAAAGAAGGGGAGACAAGGAGGGGGGAAAGGGGAGGAAGAGAGAAAGGAGAAGGGAGAGAAGGGGAGGGGGATAAATGAAAGAAGAAAGAAAAAACATCTTACCAGAATTTGGATGCTAGCGGAGAATTTTGTCAGCTCACTAGGGAAATTCCAGCAGAAAAATTACCCTAAATTTTATTTTTGTTTAAATTCCATGAAATGGGAAATGTTGGTATGCATGTTGAAAGGCAACCTAGCTAACCAATATTCAGGTAGGCCCCAGGGGGTGGGTGCCTTGAGCCAAAATAGAAGCAGCAACTTGTACAGCATAGCTATGCCTCAGTGTGGTGTGAGGATACAGGTGAGAGAATTGCAAGCAATGTGCACGTAGAAGTAGAAGCGAGGAGGGCTTGTGTAGTCTATGTTTCAAAGTATCTTAACTGACTTCCATTGAAGAAAGATCGAGTTCCCTGAGCTGAGAAAAGAACTAGGATAGGGTTAATTAAAGAGTTGAGTTTTTTAACTATCAGAAGGAATTAAGATTTACAATAAGAAAGAAGATAATAAGAGGTGACACTGTTCAAAAACAATGTACTTAATATCTGGTTTATGTAACTGTAACCTCTCTACACATCATTACAATAATTTTTTTAAACCAATAACATGCTAACTCTTTTGAACTGTTCAATTGGGTAACCAATAGCCGTATTGCTTTACTTTTTTCTATTAACTTAATAATTCAGTTTCTTGGCCATAAGACTCACATTTCAATGCTCAATAACCACATCGAGCAAGTGGCTCCTATTTTTGACATTACAGACAGAGACCGTTTCTGAATTGTAGAAAGTTCAATCCGACTGCTCTGCTCTAAGGATGTGAAAGTGAGTAAGATAGGAAAAGAGACAAAGGAAAAAGGAACTATGACTCATAAATGCCTTCTTCTACTGTGCTTAATGTTTTTAGCTCTCAGGTGCCTGTCAAAACTGTCATGCCCTGAAACTTTGAGGCTTTGCCATACCTCCTCTCCAGAAATCTGCTGGAGAAGTTTCTGCCCTACAAATAGGCTGGGATGATTGTTGGAACAGGGCGTTGAAAGAGAGGTAGATTCGGGTTGGGCCCAGGGAGGGGTAATTCCATGAATAAAGAGAGCCCCGTGCCACCCTGGCCTTGTATCAGGACTCCAAGGTGGATAAAGCATTCACTTGTCTTTGGAAGGATACAAAAGTGGGTTCTTTTGTCTTTGGTACCCAGTGAGATTTCTATAATTCATGGTTAGACAATCCTCCTCCCAGTTCAGGCTGTTATAGAACAGTGCTTATGCTATGTTTTACTTAACTAATGAGAAATTTGGCCTGCTGGTCTCTTTTTACTTTTATTTATTCCCATCAACTAGTTGTTATCAAAAATATTTTTATTCACTGTAAACAAACCCTCCATCCTTCAATGCTCTATGGTGAATGGTGTGATATTTCAAAACTGTCAAATGACATTTGCCACAGATCTGTAAGTAGAAATGACAGCATTCTGAAGACTAGTCCTCACAGATAATTCTTATTTTCTGGGATATTGTTAGCATCTCTCTGACCATCACTGACAGCTTATCAGACAGGTCTCTTTTTCCAGATTTCCATTTCATACTTTAGAGGTATCTAACACCTAGAGAGGTTTCTTTTCACTCATAGTATTTATATTAGAAACTTCTAGGTGAAGTGAATCTTCTTTAGAAGGATGCTTGCTCAAACTTGGCCTCCTGTGGGACACCATGTATTCAGGAGCACAGGGACTACAACAGCTCTTTCTCTCTGCCTGTGTGGGCAGCCATTTCCCTTGTTCTAATTGGCTGGCTCATGACTTGCCTGTCTGCTTGCAACTCTTCACTGACTTTTCACCTACCTTACTTGAAGAACAGCTTCCTGCCTATGCTCCCATTAATATTTCATTCCAAAAATTACCAACAAGATTTTAGTTGGTCAGTTTTTGGTTTTCTTCGAATCTATCTTAGGGGGACTTTAAAGTTTGTTTACCTGCTTTTTGGGAAGGACAGCTTCTTAAAAGGAGAAAAATAATCAGGGAAAGAAAATCTTCATTTAGAGAGAAAATGGATCTTTCTCTGGATTTATGCTGGTCACATAAAAGGAATTGAGACGTATATAGAGAATCTAGGAATTTTACGTATCATAGCTTTGCTTGTTGGATTTGATGTTTTCAGAACACAATACTTACTCTCAAAATTAGCAAATTTTCTGCCTCTTAGAAAATATCAGAATCTTTCCTAACATCTCACTGAAGTGGAAACTTGTAATTTTCTATTGTGACCTCAGGGTTTGGCTCTGAGCATGGGCCAGACAATTCTCTGAATATTAGAAACCTCTAAACAATATGTACCTTTTAACTAAGGGGAGAAGCTAAATGGCTGATAAATAAAGCCTAAAATGAGAAACCCCCATTCATTGCACAACCTTCCTGGCTTGGGTCACTTTGAGTGCTTGCCACCAGCAACCTTTAGTGCAGGTGTGAATCGCCCTTGCTCCATCCAGTCTACTTTTCAGCTGGATGGAGGGTGTGTCCCTAAGCTTTTACCTGGGAGCAATGATGATCTTGTCAAGCATTTCAGTGAGACCAGCCCAAGTTTTTAGGGTGGGGATCCAGACAGGTTATACGTACCTTCAGCTCTTCTCCCAGAGGAAGGCAGAAACACCTCAAAGCCTGCATGTAAGAACATCTACTGAGAAATTGTTTTAATCAGACACCAGCTGAGTGGGAGAAAGAAAGAAAGAAGAAGAAAAAAAAGAGCAGAGCAGAACAAACAAAACTCCCAGGGTGTTGGATGTAAGGGAATTCAGCAGCTGCGATGGACTGGCAATCTCTCAGGGCAGCAGCAGTGCTGTTCGTTTTTCTGGTAAGTGAATTCTGCTCAAAATTCTTCCCTATTGGTCCTCACTTATCAGCGGGTGGGAACTCTGTAGAAAATGTTACTTAGTGGTACTTCTAACCTGAACCCATTAAAAGTTTATGTTAATGACAAGGTGATTTTTATGAACTTGATTTTTAAATAGTGTTTCTCTCTGTAATTGAAGACTCCGGATCATACTAATGCAGCCTATCACATCTCTAACCTCCAAGTCATTGCTAAGTCATCCTGGGTAAATAAATGTTCAACTCGGGAAATTGGTATCCCTCCTTAGTGGAGTTGTTTGAGTTCTCATTGACAGGTAGGCTTCTATAAATCATAGTCCTGTCCCGATTTCTTCTCTGTTGGATACCTTTGTTAGCAGAATCGGTGCCACGTAAGAGCAGGGTCTACATAAATTAAAATCACAGCTGTGTGTCACTCTCCTCACAAATCCAGCAATCTCCTCTGTTTTCCATACTGCTCAGGTCAGAATCCCACGCTATCTAATTATGAAGTACAGCATTTTTAATCTAAAAAATGGCAGTATGAGGGATTTATAAATTACATAGCATGTGGAGGGGTGAAGGTGGTGGGAATTGCACTTAATTCTAACTAAGAAATAAGTGCTGTTATTTACTATATTTGTTCTCACCACTTCAAACAGAAGTGACTATGGTAAAAAAAAAATGTACATTTGTTAGCCCTCACTGTAATAAAATGATTTGTCATGGCCCTTTTACATGTTATTAACTGGTTTCTTTTTAGAGACAGTAAATAAGAAGAGCAATGCCAATATATTAAATCAAGCCACTTTGAGCAATACTTTTAGTCATACTTGTTTTGTTGTGTGTGTGTGTGTGTGTGTGTGTGTGTTTAAACAGCAAGGTTAATGTAATCCAAAAAGGCAGTGCCAGGTAAATCGCCCTCCAGCCCTGGCAAGATGTGATTTCTATTTGTTTCTACTTGCTTGAGTTTTGACCTGGAATGCTGGGTTTATATAACAACAAGTTAGATCTTTGATTCATGGTATGCTAGTTTGATTGAATTCAGTTTAATAAGTAAGGGGAGTTAGAGGGCTGGAATTGTAGCCCATGATAAGGCATTTACTTGGCATTCATGAGACCTTGTGTTTAATCCCCAGCATTGAATGGAAAGATTCTTATGGTTCTTAACCAGTAATACTTACTTGTAATGGAGTATTGATACACCAATAGCACTAGTTCTGAGCTGTTCTTCCAACATTACCCATAACTCACTGACTTTTTAGGGGATCTTTAGTTCCACTTAGTGTCATTACTTGGAATATGACAATGATCAATAACTTTATGTGGTATATCATTTGATCACAGAAACTTGTATATTGCCAGATAATGGAATACTTAAAATATCATTTTTATAAATTTGATTCATTATGACTTATCATAAAGTTTTAGTTGATTAAAAGTTTTTTTAGGTACTTTTACATTTACTTTTTCTGATTCTAAAGAATATGCCTCATTTTCATTTTTTATTATATCACCATTTCTACTTAAGTACAGTCTATAAAATTTATTTAAGCAACTACTTCTTAATTATTCATTATTCAATAAATTGTGTCATTTTATCCAAATTATGTATCCTGATCAAATATTATCTTTGGAGCGATTTCTGGCCATTTCTACTTTATTTTTAAGGTCAGATAGCTTTTCAGTTTGTAGATTTGTTTTGGAAAGTGGGGGAGTATTTGGCCAAATTTACTTTGGAATCAATCATGAATTTCTCATATGCCTTTTGTTAATTATTTCTTTAAATATTTTCACCAAGATGAAGTGAAATGTTTTATTTTCATACTGACAGCATAATTTAGTTTATAAAATATTTCACTTCTTAAGGTTTGGATCATAATGCATTTCGGTTACCAATTTTACTAAAACATTTTGGTAAATATCCTTTGGAGTTATATAATCTTGTTTTTGCTATAATGTATTTTCCCCTTGAAGAAAACTACCACTATAGAAAGCTGAATTTTCTTTCTTCTAGTCTCACTGGGAATGTTGCTTTTCCCATGCCCTCCTCCCAAAAAAGAAAAATAAATCCATAGAAAGACTTTCCTCTTCTCAACGTAAATAAATAAAAATCTATGTTAGTAATATATTTGGACAACTGTGAAGATTTTAGGACTTTTATACTTATGTTTAAGGAAAAGCCATATGAGAGCTAGGGCAACTACTGGTGACAACACCTAGCTGGTGACAGACTGCACATTGTGGAGTCTATGTGATATATGTGAAAGTGAAAGGTTTGCCCTTATTAAAATTACTGGGTTGGATCTGAGAGAATGAAGCAGAAGAGCTATTCTTAAAATGACCAAGACTGATGTATGACTCTTCTATTCTTCACATGGAACTCCTGGGTAGAAAATACTTACACTTGGTTTTTCTTTCTTTGCAAGCCTGAGGTAGGGATTGATTCATTCTTTCTTTCTTTTTTAATTGTGAAAATACTGTACAGAGGGGTTACAATTACATGGGCAAGGTAATGAGTACATTTCTTATCAAGCATGGTTGCCTCCTCCTTTGTTTCCCTTTCCCTTCCCTTCCCATCTCCCCCCGCCCCCCTTCCCCCCCCAGCCAAAGTTGTTAAGTTCCTTGTTTGACATAACATCTTGTGCATCTCATTGGTGTAATGGGTGCACCTGTATCCTTATTTAAACAATTTACTTCTTTCTTTCTTCCTTCCTTTCTTTCGTTCCTTCTTTCTTTCCTTTTTTCTCATTCATTCCTTTCTTTTTTCCCTTCTTTCTTGTCCCCTTTCTTCCTTTCCTTCTTCCTTCCTTTTCTTTTCCCTTTATTCTTTATTTTCCTTCTTTCTTTCCTTCCTTCCTCTTTCTCACACTCTTCCTTTCTTCTTTCTTCCTCCCCACCCCCCATGAAATCAGTATACGGAGTAGAAAGGAGTTGATATGTACTCTCTCTTTTTTTTTTTTTTTGGATAGAGAACAAATATGCACCAAATAAAAGAAATTTGTGTGGGTGGTTGTGAAATAGAATTTCTAGACTTTCTAGAGTTTTAACCATTTCTGAAAAAATACTTGTAACTTTGCCAGATTTGTTCAGCCCATTAACATCTAAATGAATCTGAAGATTTTTTAAAAATAAAGGCAAATGACTGCATGTCCAGCCCAAAGAACAGAGAAAACGGTTATTATATATTGCCACACATGACCTGAACATTTTCAATTCATTGTATTTACTTCTTTTTCTGTGAGGATAATATTTCATTCTAAAAGAAACTCCCCTGACATGTTCTTAGTTGACATTCTTTAGGATATAGTAGAAGTTTTTCAGGATATTTCTCAGCAGTCAGGCTAAAGTACACTGAAAATAATATTCATTTTATCATATAATTCATAAATTTGTTTGAGCAGATAAATTTCCTTGTGTTTGCTGTCACCAAAAGCAAGAAAACGACTAGCAAACCAGTACAGATCAAACAAGACAAATCACAGAGAGGAGTCTTTATGTTTTCTTGTACAAATAGTGTAGAGATTTAACATTTCAGTAAAATATAGGAAATGAAAGTAATATTTCTAGTCATCTCAGTGAAACTTATAAGTTGCACTTAAACATAATTATTTCTATCAATATGGTATATATCACAAAGACTTTGTACTTTTTTTTCCTTTGTGTCAATACTGGGGCTTGAACTCTTACCCTCATGGTCTAGCTCAGCTTTTTCCTTCATAACTGGTGTTCTATCTACCATTTTAGCTATATCTCCACTTCTGGCTTTTTGCTTGTTAATTGGGGACAACAGTCTTGTAGAATGGTCAGGTAGGAGCTACCTCCTTACAGCTTCTGTATTTTAACTTAGGTTTAGGACTGGCATCTTCTTTGGTGAACTCAGTTTAGATTGTCACAAAGCATAAAACATTTCCAGGTGTACTCTTTAAGTAATAGGAAAGTCTAAATCTCTGGGAGAATACTATCTTCACACAGGTTTGGCTTTAGAAACAAGATTTATTTATTCAAAGAGGTGAAGGAATCTAGAAAACATGACCTCTGGTTCTACATAGAACATCTAGTTTTTGAACTCCACACTGCATCCAACAAGGACTCTGCTGTTGAGTATTCTTGAGTCCTAACTGGCATTTCCATATAGATAATAAGCAGGAAGCCTGTTGTGCTTAGCATGGCAGTTAAATTTATGAAGTTCCCTCAACTGAGGACACACCCTCCCAGAGTGCTGGGTCATGCCACTTCTGCTGGTTATAATTGTAAATCAAATACCTTTCATGGACTTGAGTCAAACTGATTCTAATGTCACTGGTAGTTGATCCATGCTCTTCACTGGTCTATGAGAATACAATTTTATACATTTGTCAAATGAGAAGTCACATCTCTACAAATTAATAGATTTGTAATTAATAGATTTGCAAATAATTAATAGATGCCTACTGATTATGAAATGATGCAATTGGAAATAGTATAAAGACAGGTTCTGTGATTAACTTTTATATCCTTTGCAGTAACCTAAACTAGTGCAAGATTGTTCAACAGTTGACTCACACACAGAGCAGAGGCATCAGAGGGAATTTTCAGATAGTTTATACTTCTGTTCCCAAATGCTATCAAAAATATTAGTTAAGGAAATCATTGTATTAGGTTTTACTAAAATTTTGTAGTATGGTATTATGTCTATTTGGCATCATATCTAAGACTTACCATAATATTTAGGATTACAGCCCTTTAAATGATTCAGGTAAGCCTTGGATCTTCACAATGAACAGTTAAATATGAATTGATAAGAAAACATATAAACTCATGAATAAACATGAAGAAATCAACCCACTGGATTATAGCCAAACTCAACTGATACCTTTTATCAGAGCAGAAGTTTTCCAAAGAAAGCAAGTTATATATTACCTCTATTGTATTTTCATCCTTATGACATATCTAAGAGTTAACAAATGTATCAGAAGTTTGTGATTCACAAGTAATGAACTCACTATTTTTAAAAGAAATCGATTTTCCTTAGGAAAATTACTTTTTCAAGCCAATTTTTATGATATACAAAACTCATGGTATAATATCACAAAAACTGGATGGAACAAACTGTTATAAGGAAATTGTTAAAATTAGAATGCCATTTTGCATCCTGTCCCTTTAAAACAAATAAACAAATAAATTGCCTCTCAGAACAGAAATTCGACTCAATAAAAACAACCATTGAGTTAAATTAGTCACTGCTTTCATAGACTCTAACGAAAGGGTTGTTAATCTTCAACACAGATAGAGAAACTGAAGCACAGATTGAGTAAGGGACTACCCCAAGGCTCATACCCAGTGAGTAAGAAAGCAGAGCATAGCAAAGCTCTGCCCAGGCATCTTCACAACCCATGTTTATCTCTCAGTGGAGCTCCATTGCATCTTCTGTAACCAAGACTCTAAACATATGGCTGAATCCAAAGTGCTCCACAGTTTTCAGATAAAAACTTCACCTTTACTCTAGGGATGATATCTAGGTCACTCATTACAATGTGCTTCAATTTTCCTGATCTTCATTCTTCCTTGCTTGCTTCTACTCTGCCTCCAAGGTCCTTTCTTTTTTCTACCTGTTCCACCAGCTCTCTCCATCACCACATTTCCATTAAGCATCTTCTTTTTCAATATCTCTACTTTCTAATAAAAATACCTCTCCTCCCTCCTTCTCAACTTCTGAAAAAAAATCACAAACCCTTCTCCACCAATTTCCTGGATTCCATCATCTATCATTTTGTCCTGCCGTATTGTTTATTCTTTAAATGTCTACATAAGGTGATCAGATTTGTGTCTTCCTTCTCTTCTTATTATTTCATATTTTCTTTTATTCAGGTAAAGACATATTCCAGCTAGATAAAAATATCACTGAAAGCCTCAAGATTTCCTCAGGATTCATGCTGCCCATTATTTTTTTTTTCATTTCATTCATATATCTGTCTTTTAATTTCCCTTCCTTTAAGAATGGCTAAAATGCAGTATGTTTTCCTCCCATTTCTAGAGCCAATTCTCTGCTTCTTTCTCTTGTTTCTTACACTTGTTCCCATTTGTACAATTATTAGGATTTCTCCACTGTCTACCTCAAACAGGTTATTTCTTTGTAGCCTCTACTTTAGGAACTTAATATTTTCCATAATTTTACACTCCTACTTGAACATATATATCTCATATCTACAGCTCTTGGCTGAATGATCCATATTTCAGATCAAAGCATCTTTACCGGGCCTTTCTATTTCATCTTCAACTCAGTGTCTTCAGATCTGCTAAATTCTACTACTACTGTGTTTCCTTCCAGTCCTAGTTTTTAAAACCATTGTTACCCGACACTCCTCCCCTTCTTAAACTCCCCCATTCCATCTGTTCTCAAACCCTAAGGATTCTTTCTGTCTCTCCACTATCTCTCCCTTGATCTTTCCTTCTGATTCCCACCGCCTCTGCTTCTGGTTAGCTCCTCCTAACCTCTATCCTGACTTGACACCCTGACTGTCAAATGCTGTCAGCCTGTAATTTCTTCCTCTTCTCATCGCACCTGCCAGCTGTTGCCCAAGTAAGGTTTTAACCCCATAATTTTATTAAACCTTTCCCATGATGAAAATACTTCAATATTTTCCCTGCACACAGGGATTTTAGGTGAGAACTGTAAAAGTACTCATATACAAGTTAGTCTACCCATTTTACAGACGAATAAATGAAAGCACTAAGAATTTTAGAAAATAAATCGAAGGTTTTCTAACTCTGTGATCTTTTTCTACTATTATTGTTTTGCCTGTGAAAGTCTAACATGGACTTTGTTTCTGAGTTTGTTCTACACTTTGAACAAAAGAAAAGAAGCTTAGATCAGTCAACCCACCACATTTTTAAGCAGACTTGGCAGTTTTTTAATTACCCATCCAATTGTGAGTCTGACACTGTGCTGAAACCTACTTGGTCCTCTGCCCAAACTGCTTCCCATGGGAAAGAGAATGACCCAGCTGCATAAAGGTAAAAAGATGTCTTAGTCATCTGGCATAGTTATCTAAAGCAAACAGCAAGAACTGACACTTCATTACGGGAAGGGAAGTGCAGTCACAGATAACAGAGGCATACACAGTGTGGAAACTATGAAGACATGACTTTGAAACATACAAATAAGGTGTCTCCACCTCCCTACCCCACACCCACATTCAAGAGAGAGGTAAAAGCTAGAAAATTCATAAATAGCAAGAGGAATATGTTCCATAAACATCCTCTCAGGTCCATACTCCAGATGGCTTTAACAACGATATTAGTTACACATCCTAATCATTCTAACCATTTTGGTTTCCCCCCCTAATTTCCTCTTCTATTACTGTTGATGTTGCGTATAAATATTTGTGATCACAAGGATGAAGTTATTGTCTTACAATCAGTTTTCTGAGTTTACAAAGATGTATCATCAGTTCTTTGTAGCAGGTTTTACTTAGTAATTTACTTGAGATACCACATACACAAATTTAGGCTGAAATGTATTGAATAGTCGGATGTTATAAATCAAAACTTACACCTCAGTGTCCTCTGTAGAAATCATATGTTTTTGTTGTGAAGATTATATGTAAAGATTTCTCTAAATGTGTTGCCTACTGTGTAGTTATTATCAGTGAATGATACTAGGGGTAATTATAATGATTAACACTGTATCATGGCTTAATACTTTTCTCTTATTGATAACTGTTTTCTTAATCAGTTATGATGAATTCTTAGTATGTCCTTGAAAAGTGAAATTCCATTTTTCTTTAAAGATGAAATTGAAAGCAGCTATGAAAATGATTAACTAAATTTAAACTTTACTAGTATTAGTACTTTAAATGAAATGCATGAAAGTTGTATATCAATGATACAAAGTGGGATTGTGAACATCATTTTTATACTTGCTTATTACAAAAATGATTAAATGTTTAACATCTTTTATTTAGGTAGACATTAAAACCAAGGGTGCATAGTATCTTTAATGGATGTTCCCTGTAATTTAAAACAATCTGAGCAAACTGGTCCTCAAATATACACTTAAGTTTTAAATATATATTTTTATAATACCTTGAACAAGGATATAGAGATATTATCCTGATAAATGGATGTTAAGAAGTGTCTGTGTTTTCTAGGGAAAAAGTAAATTATCCTGTTGTTTTACTCTATGTTATAAACAGTGATCAGACCCAGAGTTTAAGCAAGCATAGCTGTTTGGCCACTTGGGTGGCTAGAGGAATTATATAAAGCAGGAAAAATAGCTAAGGAAATCTTATATTCATGATTTGTCCCCTACATACTTGCATTTTCTTCTTTTTACTAAAATACTAAAATCTTATGTGTAGAATTGCATATGAAGGAGCAAATATTTTGAAGTTTTTTGGATATCTCCCTGCTTTGTATCCGTTCTTAGCTTCTAAGCACTTTTCTCATTTCCATTAGTAAGCTTGTCAGATCCTGAAACCATAGTCTAATGTTTTAGTATATTAACTCATTGTTGATTCTTACTGGGTTGCATCAGTATTTCTACCTCTTCAGTCCTAAGATTTACTAAGAAAGCCCTAGTCTCCAGCACACATCCTCCTCTGGGACCTATCTTCAAGTATCCTTATGGCTAAAATGGCTAAAAATGAAATTTTCAAAGATTTTTCAATAGCAATAATAAAAATGAGAGAAATAAAAATGCAAAAACCAAGAAGAGTTCTAAGCACCCTCATCAACCTATGAAGTAACCCAAAGCCACCTGCCATGCAAACTGATAAAATAATCCTAATGACTCACAAGACTGGGTCTTTCAATTTTTAATGATTAAGCAATGTGAATTTTAAAGTATTCAATACCAAGTTAACTACTGTGACTGTCTATTTTTATAGGTGGTGGCAGAAGTTAACAGTGAATTTCGAATCCAGGTAAGATACAACAAATGGTTTTTCCACATTTCAAAGCAAAATGATAGGGCATGTTGGTTCATACCTGTAATCCTAGGCAAGACCAAGCCAGGAAGATGGTGAGTTCAACCTACCCTTTTGTTTGTCCCCAAACAAAAAAGAAAAAAGAAAAAGAAAGAATATGTTAGTATAATACATTCATGAAGCAAATAAATATATTATTTAAAAATGTTCCCTTCCACGTTGTTGTAAGTACATAATTCATAGAGAAAACTAGTAAAATGACACAGCAACACTAGCAAAAACTAGAATGCCTGGGTTTAGATTTAGCAAATATGCAATGAAATCGCACATTTGTCACTTTCTACCTATAAAGATCATTATTCAATAAATTAATAAGTATTAACAATTAATTATTTTGGAATATATTTCCATATCAACCCCCTGGTTCCACTCTAATATTTAGTTACCAAATTTGTGAAATTAAAGACAGTGATACCAAGTAACTCACTGTAATTTGAAAAGCTGAAGTAACTATGAAAATTTCTTAACGTTCTAATTGAAGAACAAATGTTCCCACTGCTACTACGACTTTATCTTATCCTTTCAAGGTAAGAGATTATAACACTAAAAATGGCACCATCAAGTGGCACTCCATCAGAAGGCAAAAACGTGAATGGATCAAGTTTGCTGCGGCTTGTCGTGAAGGTGAAGACAACTCTAAGAGAAACCCAATTGCCAAAGTAAGTTAGAACTCAAGACATAAACCTGAAATCAAATGAAGAGGGTTAAGTTTGACAGAACCTGTCTTCTCCATAGACTGTGAACTTATCTTACTGAAAAGTTGTGTTACAGAGAAAAACTATAATTATTCAAGTTATGAAAACTGAAGTTCCTAACAGAGTAAATTAAGAATGTTAGATACTCAGATAAACAGTTAAATATTGATTCATATCACGGACAAAGCAAATATACATAAGCATGTATTACTACAGACTCTACACAAGAAAAAGAATACCCAGTGATTCAGAGTGGATTTACACTCTGGACGTACACTCCTACACACATCAATAAACTACTTCAGCATGTGTGCTTTATAATCTATTAGAAATGAACTTCTGTTTTTGTGTGTTTATTTATAACTTTGTGTGTTTATTTATAACTTTCACAATGTGCCCCTTTCTACAACATACACACACACATACACATACATATCCCACAAAGATTAATACATATGCAGATATACAAACAAATACAGATACACTCTGACAAATACACACCATTCATACAGGAACACATGGAGACTTCCTAGTAAGTTTTGCTAATTGTCAGTCTTTTATTTCAAAGACACAGTTTTTATTCCTATAAGCATTTATTTGAATGGCTTTACTTTCTTACCAAATTTCCTATTTTCAGAATAACTATTTTTAAGCTCCAATGATTTTTGTTACCTACACAATTCCATATAAAGCTGCTTCTAATATTTTACCTTTTTTAAAAGTTTTTTTAAATCTAAAGATCAAATTTCTTTAACAGCTGTATTAGTGAGTTCTTCAGGACAGCAAGGAGTTCCCTACTGTAAATCCACTGTTAGCATGGAGACTGAAAATAATATAAGATCAAATTGTACACATAGAGTAAGTGGATGTCGGCTTAAATAAGAAAGGCAATGGCATTTTTATTGGGGATGATATTTTACTTTTTATTATTTAGTAGAAATAGAAATGGGAATCTGTGTTATTGCATTGTCAGTTACCATTAAAATATGGCATGTATGTTAGTGATTATGGAAACACAAAAGCTATTTCACCTATCTTAGAATGTAATTCTGTTTTCAACTTTTCACAAATGGTGGCAAGGACAGCATATTCAACACTTCTCAAGGTAAATAGTTGTCATGTATCAAACCAAGCTCTTTATACCCTCTCAGTAATATTCCACTGTGTTCTTCCTGCAGATTCACTCAGATTGTGCTGCAAACCAGCCAGTCACCTACCGCATCTCTGGAGTAGGAATTGATCAGCCACCTTATGGAATCTTCATCATTAACCAAAAAACCGGTGAAATTAATATAACATCCATAGTTGACCGGGAAGTCACTCCTTTTTTCATTGTAAGTGGGTGCCATGTGAATGTATATGTTCAAGATGAAATTAATTTTAGAAAATCTTAACTCAGATCATGCCCAATTTGATTTCAAAAGCCTCAACAGTAGGCATTTGTTACTTGTTTTGTAATTCACAAATATCCCAATAAATACAGAGAAAACTGAGACCAAAGTATGTTTCACTTAGCTGTGGACAAATCGACCAGCATCTAGTTGACTCCCATTGTTCACTAGACTATTTTAGGGGGTAGAGGGAAGGAAAAATAAATATCTAATTTTACTTAATTAAAAAAAGAAATACAGCCGGGCACCAGGGGCTCATGCCTGTAATCTACAATCCTAGCTACTCAGGAGGCTAAGATTTGAGGATTGTGGTTCAAAGCCAGGCTGGGCAGGAAAGTCTGAGACTCTTTAATTAACCACCAGAAAACTGGAAGTGGTGCTGTGGCTCAAGTGGTAGAGCACATGCCTTGAGCTGAAAAGTTCAGAGATAGCCCCTAGTCCCAGAGTTCAAGGCCCATGACCAACCAAAAAATAAAATAAAACCCAGTTGAGAATGTGAGCTCCTTTCAATTCCAGGAACAAGTAATGATTCTAGAGCTTAAAAAGGATTCTTTCCCAAATGGACAAGCTTCAGTATAACTTTCCATTGCTGGGGCAGACACTCCCACAGGGCTTAAGCAGCCTCTCTTCAAGCCCTCAACCTCACTGCACTTCAGAGAGACTAGCTGAAGAGCAACTCCATCCAGAAGGCTGAGGCCAGTTACCTCAATTGAATTCTTTCTCTGACAGCTCAGAAATGTTTCTCCATTAAATCCAACAGTGGATCCATTTGGGATCCTTTCCCATAGCATATCTGAAGACATTCTTATTGTCCTGTAATTACCTATTTCTTCAAGAACCTCATCAGCTGTACATTATCATTTCTCCTTGATTTCTCCATTGGCTACTTTCATTTTTACCTATCACTATGGGCACCATTCATTTTAATATGTAAAAATCTAAAAATAATGACATTTTAAACCCTTTCTTTGATCCATCTTCTAGTAAAATCTCAGTGAGCCATATCCCCAAATCACCATAATAGTATTCTATGCCTGCTGCTGTCATTCTTGTCCATTTGTAGTTCAAAGATTGCTTGCATCAATTCCTTAGCCTTCAAATCCGAATCTACACTCTTGCCAAGCAAGTCTATATATTATTGACTTTTCTTGAAGCCCTCTTCCTCTTCTATCTATATAATATGTGTATTATATATCGCGTGTGTGTATGTGTGCATACACACATGTGCAAGCACCAGGAGTGGAACTTGAACGCAGGGCCTTGTGCTATCTCATAGCTTTGTTTACTCAAGGCACTCAACCCCATTCCTCTACTTTGGATATTTCACTGGCTAATTGGAGAGAACAGTCTCTTGATTTATCTGCCTATGCTGGCTTCAAATACCAATTCTCAGATCTCAGCCTCCTGAGTAGCTAGGATTACATGTGCAAGCCACTAGAAGTAGGCTCAATATATTTTTATACAAAATACACGCATATGAAATAGTAGACATTATACTTATGTATAGGGTATCCAACATATGTGGAAGAGTTCACATTGTACCTATATACATGTCTTCATCATAATAATCACCCACAGAAACACTACCTAGATTAAGAATGCTACATTCCAAGTGGCGCTGTAGCTCAAGTGGTAGAGCGCTCGCCTTGAGCTGAAGAGCTGAGGGACAGCACCCAGGCCCAGAGTTCAAGCCCCACGACCGACAAAAAAAAAAGAATGCTACATTCCTTGAAGTTTCTATGGGATATTCCTTGGCTTTATTCTCCCTTAACCCCACTTCCTTATTTCAAATACAGCATGCTTGTTTCCTTATCAAATTCTCTTTTCTTGGAACATTGCCAATTCCTAGCTCTGTCTGTTGAAATACACTTTTATTATTATCTCTATCATTACATTTTCCTATTACTTCATCATTTTTTTCTTCTTATATCTTATTATGCTGCCTTCTCTTAAAGGTTTTGTGCTCATGTCTGCCTTATTGTATACGTGCATAAATATGCACATGCATGTGCTTATAGCTTGTATTTATAGTTTCAGAAAAATCACAATCATATGTCTCTTTTAATTTCCCACAATGTCTAACAATACTCTCTAAAAGTTAAAAACTTGATAAGTATGTGTTTCACCATATCATTATTCTTTCCTAGATCTACTGCCGTGCTCTGAATGCACAGGGCCAAGACTTAGAGAGACCTCTTGAACTGAGAGTGAGAGTAATGGACGTAAATGACAACGCTCCAGTATTTTCCATGGATACATTCGTAGGACAAATAGAAGAAAACTCTAATGCAAGTAAGTAATTTTTAAGTAAGCAAAATCTATTGGTTTCAAGGTCAGTCTTAACAGCCAGGAAATTGCAGTCTAATCCGTGTCAAGGTAAGCATCGCAAATATTAGAAATAAGCCCCAGAAAAGCATCCAGAACAGAGACTCTCTCAAAGGGGGAAGAAGTTCCAAGCTGTTCTCCAAAGTGAGGAGAAGAACTTACTCATTCTACCCATACCCTACCTCTTTAGGAGAACCTGAATTAAGATACTTGTAAAACATTTTGTTCAGTGGTGGAGTGGCATGTCTGGCTCTGTAGAAGGGCAAAAAGAAACCCACTCCCGATTTGTAATGTTTTTCAAGGTACTTTTTATTGAAATTTAATACTTGTATCTCTTTTTTTTCCTTGGCAGTAGTAGAATTTGAACCCAGCACCTCCTGCAGAGACAGGCACTTTGATCCTAGATTCTGTCCTCCAGCTTTTTTTTTTTCTCTATTTATAAGATAGAGTCTCACTTTTTGGTTAGGCTGGCTTGGACTATAATCCTCCTATTTACACTTCCAGTGTTAGCTGGGTTGCCAAGTGCACACCACCACATCTAGCTTTTTGTTTTTCCTATGGAGTTGGTTTCTTATGAACATGTTTTACTAGCCTTAAACTGTGATCCTCAGTATCTCAGTCTCCTACATAGCTTGGATGACATGTTGTCACCACAGTTCCAAGATGATATGATATTTTTACCTCTTTATATGTTCTATTGTGCAATTCAATACCTATACCTATTTATAATATTCAGATTGGTAACAAGCATTTCCATCTTTTCAACCATTAATCACTTCTATAGGTTATGAATTTTGTACTCATCTTTTCCAGTCTTTTGTTGTTGTTGTTGTTGGTCAAGGGGCCTGAACTCTGGGCCTGGGCACTGTCCTTCAGTTCTTCAGCTCAAGGCTAGCACTCTACCACTTGAGCCACAGTGCCACTTCCAGTTTTCTGAGTGGTTTATTGGAGATAAGAGTCTCTTGGACGTTTCTGCCTGGGCTGGCTTTGAACTGCAATCCTCAGATCTCAGCCTCCTGAGTAGCTAGGATTGCAGGCATGAGCCACTGGTGCCCGATCCTTTCCAGTCATTTTTAAATGTATCATAAATTATTTGAACTAATAGTTACCCTATTGTGTTAATGAAGAACCAGAAAAAATTCCTTCACTCTGTGTTTTAAATGCTCTCAGTGAACTTCTTGATGGTAATTATGTTAAATTAAATAGCCAGACACTGAACCACAAATACCACGTATTCTGACTCATTCATGGAAACCAATAAATCAACCTTGTAGAAGAATGAAAAGGAAAAGTGATTACTAGAGACTGCAAAGAGCAAGGGGAAAGGGTAACAGCACAAAAAAGGCTATTTCAAAGACATGCATTAAAATCCATTCCATACATTCTGTTTTGTTGACAGATATAAATGCGGAACAAGCATTAAATCAAAAGATATGAGTACTCTTTTGTAGTCAAAACTTCAATTTACCACAGAATGTTTAAACTTTTAAGTAACATAATTTCTTTTCAATCCCAAAGCTCTCACATTGCATTCTTGTTCATTAAAAGCATATCTATTTCTTGGTCTTAAAAAAAACTACTATAGAAACTCTCATTGTAAAAAGTCACAGAATATAGGAAGGAAGAGGGGAATGAAAACCCACTTTTGTTCTTCATTATACCATTTTGCAGAGATAAGCTTTTCTCCCAATTACTAGACATATACAGAAGGTAAGTAAAGCTTTCAGGACATAACTAGAATCTTCTATGTACTAATCCACATGCTTTTAGCTAATTATATGCACATTATATTTACATATCAGAACATGTATACTCCTCCAGTTTAAAAAGATACAATGCATTTCATTATATGAATGTGCCATAATTAATTGCCAATAAGAACATTTTGTTAAGTTATACTAAAATGAATCGAGGTGGAGAGAGAGAGAAAAAAACAAAGAGAAGAAAGAAGAGAGAAGAGAGGAGAAGGCTGGATGGGAGTGGAGTGGAGGGGATGGGTGCCCTTTTGCACTTAAAAACATGTTTGAAAAAAATAGTAGAAAAATTCTAGTTTGGGAATGACTATTGACAGCTTTTCTTGTTCTCCTGTGCCCTTCATTAAAACTACTGATAAATTTTCTGAAAAAAATAAAGAACATCACAATCTACAGGTCTAAAGACAGTAACAATAGCCATTAAAAATGAATTGTTCAGTAGAAATTCTATACATTTTTCTGTAATAACCTATGCACTTCTCACAGGAACTTTGTGAGGATAGTTTTCATTATCATCCTCATTCATAAATGTGGAAAATGAGGACAAGATCATATACCTAGAAAGTGTTAGGGCATGGTAAAAGTTAATCTAGTTTTACTGTCACTTTTTTTATCATAAGCATCAGAAGAAGAAACAAATTGTATTTTAATAAAAAACAAAGCACCAAAATATACATTTCCTTTGGTCCTTGATTAAAATGTGGTCTTTTATCAAGACCAAGGTAACCAAAGCAGGGGAAGCAGGGAGGATTGGATGGGGGAGCAGGGGGAGATGGGAAGGGATGGGAAGGGGAAACAAAGGAGAAGGCAACAATGCTTGATAAGAAATGTACTCATTATCTTGTCCATGTAATTGTAACCCCTCTGTACAGTATTTTCACCAAAAATAAATTTAAAAAGATATTGATATTGTGAACTTCTATAATAGAAATATAATAAAATGCATATTATTAACTCCTGTGCATCACTGGAGAGGTAATATACAGTATTGTAACAAAAATGTCAATATTACCCTTGCAATCAATTTTCCTGAATTTCTAGATACACTGGTGATGAGACTCAATGCTACTGATGCAGATGAACCAAACAATTTGAACTCAAAAATAGCCTTCAAGATCATAAGTCAGGAGCCTTCAGATGCGCCAATGTTCATCATCAACAGATACACTGGAGAAATTCGGACAATGAATAATTTCATAGACAGAGAAGTAATTTTTTTTCTTTAAGTGGGAATTCACTTGAAGGAACTGACTCTAAAACTAAGGATACCTATAAGGAAAAATAAGACAGTATCTTTATATTTTAATTATATACTCATTTTTCATAATGATAATATTAGAGCAATGATACTAAAACAATTAAATGATCAATGAAGATTATTTAATTTTATGTTGTTCTGACGTTTCATTATCAGTTAATTAGGACCTACCTCAATTTAAGAAAGCTAGATTGTGAAACTACATAAAATTTTGCAAAAGGTAGAGATCAAGCCTCCATTTGAAAAAGAAAGGTGTGTTCTAGAAGGAAATAAATATAAGAAACACTTGCCATTGTTTCCCCATTGGTACATCACAATACACGTGAACAGCATGATAGTGGCTCTAAAACTATGTACAGACTAAGAAACATGCTTATCTTCTTTTCTTTTGCTTTGCTTTATTTATTTATTTATCTTTGCAACAGTTCTGGGGCTCAGGGTCTAGGCGCTGTTCCTGAAGTGTTTTGTTTAAAACTGGTATTCTACTACTTGAGCCACTCTTCTACTTCTGGTTTTTAGGTAGTTAACTAGAGCTAAGAGTCTCCTGGTCCTTTCCTGCCCTGGCTAGGTTAGAACTGCTATCCTCAGATCTCAGCCTTCTGAAATACATGAGTCACTGCACTTATCTTTCTTTAACATGGTATATTCTAAGCTCTTGATGAGTAGATATCTAATAAATTTCTTTCTGTTTTACACCTACTGGTCTACTTTAGCTAATGAATCACACGATCAGAATAGTGGATAGTAATTAAATAACACCTGTGACAATCTATTGATAAATAACTAGTGGTTGCTAACAGATTAGAATCTATTAATTTCTATATATGTCCCATTATTTAAAACATCTACTTGCTCATTTATACAAAGATTAGAACTGGATTAAATATATGACATACTTGTTCATAATATACATATATGATATACATATATATATATATATCAGATATATGCACATATATACATATATATCATAAATGGGTACATTATATTTCACACATATATGTTTGTATATATATTTATACATGATTATATATACATATATGTGAGAATATTTTATTTTGTAATATATATAATTAAATTCATTTTTCATTAGTCTTGGTTTTAAAATGTCAGTCTTCCTAGTAATGTTTTCTAAGTTTAAGATAAATCAGAATTGTTTTATTATTCTTGCAGTTTTCAGTGTTACAGTGTTTAAGTTACCTAATTCTCATTATTTTCTTGCTTGAAAATGACCTTTTAGAAGAACTTATCTAGCCATCTTTTCTCTTTCAAACTCACCTAAATATCCCAGTGAAATTCCTTTAATATAAAAATAGCTTTAGTGGGAGTGAACACTAAAAATGGTGCATCCAAAGTAAAAGAACTCTGCTGTCGTTGTAAAGTCTGGGACCATCAAGAGATTTCAAGATGTATTTAACAATGAATGCCCTGAAGTTCTGCCCATAACTGTGAATGACAATATATGTACACATGAGTCTAGGAAAAGTTTCATAGCTTTTACCAACTTCTAAAATTTTAAGTACTGTTGAAGAAAATCAAGAATAACTACATGATCAATAACTCAATTGCCATAACTCTCTACCCACCCTCAATATTAAAGTCACGTATGCTACTATTTCCCTTGCATATTCGGGAAGTGATTAGTTATAGGATTCCTATGAGATTGGCATGCCATAAATCCTTTGTGAACCTAGATCTCTCACTTCTGGATTGTTCTGTTCCATCTCACCCTTTATAAACATTTCCAGAATCTGGACTATTAGAGAACAAAACAAACAGGCTTTCATAAAAAGATTGCTTCCTTTAATTAACACAAAATATTCATTATTGGAAATGGAACTGGCAATTTCCATATTGATACACGTGATATTTGTAGGTTAATATTTTGTGATACTCTTTGCTTTCTCCTAGACTTAGGACATTATTTAGCAAATGTTTTTAAAAACCTTTGTGTAAACTAATGACTGCGTCTACCTGGTGTGACATTGCTTGTGATTTTTTTTTTTAATCTTTAGCAATATGCTCAGTATTCTCTTGCTGTAAGAGGCTCAGATCGAGACGGCGGGGCAGATGGCATGTCAGCAGAGTGTGAATGCAACATTAAAATCCTTGACGTCAATGATAACATCCCCTACATGGAACGGCCTTCTGTACGTATTCATTCCTGAAAGTTAAATGTAGTAACTCTAAGTTCATTACATTGAAAATGCACTTTGACAGTCCTGTTTGCAGATGTACTTGTGTTTAATGTCACACTGCCCAAAAGGGAAAATACACTTTTTCTTGTGTTTGTTTATACAATAGGGAAATATATATTTAAACAATGAAAGCGTATGATTGAAAATAGATACTATTTCTGAATAATGAATAATTGTTGATACTTCACTAGAACCTTGGTCAAGATCTCTCCTCCCATCTTCTGTGTTGATTTTGTGTTTTTTTTTTTTTGGCTTCTTGTTTCAGTATGCCATAAGTATTGAAGAAAATGCTCTACATTCAGAGTTGCTCCAGATTAGAGTAATTGATTTGGATGAGGAGTACACAGCAAACTGGATAGCAGTAATTTTCTTTATCTCTGGAAATGAAGGAGGTTGGTTTGATATAGAAATGAATGAAAGAACAAATGTAGGAATTCTAAAGGTCGTTAAGGTATGATATACTAAATTTATTTAATGTTTAAAATATTTTTATAAAAGTATTAAGTTTAACAATCAAATGATATTAGCATTTTACAAACCATTTTATGAAATGATTTTTAAAGTGCTATACTTTAAAATATGTATGATCCAAAGCTTTTATACATAGATAAAAAATGACAGTTGTTCTATAGATTTTTATGAATTGTGGATTTTGACATCACCCTTCATAATGAAAGTAGTACTTGGTTATTTTATAATGTAAAATATTTTTCTAGACTCTATTGAGGAAACTAATTTATTCATATAAATATATATATATATTGCTTGATTGTTCAAATTACAGAAGTAAATTTCTTAGAAATAGTTCCTTATAGGTACAGCTAGTCAAATGGGAAGTCTCAATATGTTTGATAAACATTTTATTATAAACAGAGCTACTTTCTGTGAAACATAAAATAATTCTAATATGAATTGACTTTGCACTACATAATACAAAAATGTAACCATTTGTTATTTTAAGTTTTAATTTGGTTAGTGCACAATCAGGGATTATGTCACATGTTTTCAATCTTTTCAACAATGGGACAAGTATTTTTTTTTACTGTATTTGCTGTGTACTCATTGAACTACAGATAAAGATACTAAAGATAAAATGGGTATTTGTAAGGATTTATATTTAGCTATGTCTATATGTATAGATATAGCTAAATATACTCAGATGCTACTTACATTTTTTTATTGTAAAAGTACTGTACAGAGGGGTTACAATTACATGGGCAAGATAGTGAGTACATTTCTTATCAAGCATTGTAGCCTCCTCCTTTGTTTACCCTTCCCATCCCTTCCCATCCTCCCTCCCCCCCACCCAATCCTCCCCCACATTTTTTATTTTCAAAGGATGTCTTTTTCTTCTGCAATGTTTTTCTTATAGTAAAACTATTTTGCTCTGTATTTTCTAGCCCCTAGACTATGAAGCTATGCAGAGTCTACAACTTAGCATCGGTGTTAGAAATAAAGCTGAATTTCATCATTCAATTATGTCTCAGTATAAACTCACAGCAACTGCAGTCTCTGTGACTGTGACCAATGTAATTGAAGGCTCAGTGTTCCGCCCAGGTTCAAAGACATATGTAGTGACCAGCAATATGGGAGATAACTACAAGGTTGGAGACTTTGTAGCTACTGACTTGGACACAGGTCGCCCTTCAACAACTGTTAGGTAAGAATGACATTTTCCATAAAAAATTAAAATCACGTTGAACTTAAAAGCTATACCTTCTCTTTTAGAAATTTAAAATTAAAATTAAATTAAATTTAAAATTAAAACTAGTTTAATTAATACGTATGTTTCATTATTTGGAAACCATCATTCTACTGAATTACTACCAATAGTTAATGTGAGAAAATAAAAAAAATTGTGAAAGATGTAAGATGCAAGACTGTGGAAATGATATATTGGGAAAGTTTTGATACTGTGTTCATATATCTTGTTTTTTTAAATAATTATAGTAATTTGTAAAGGTTATGTACAAAGAGACACAGTTACTTAAGTCAGGTAATAAGTATATTTCTTTTTGGAAAGTATCAGCTCTTCCCCTGCTCTCTCCCAGTTTTCCCCCCCTGTCCCCACCTACAAGTTGTAAAGTTCATATTCCACATAGTGTCTAGTGAGTGCCACTGCTGCATTTGTTTACCCTTGTCCTGCCTTCTCCTTACCCTTCCAGAAACATATAAATTTACAAATGAAAGGTTAAGAAAACAAAAATAGTTACAAAGGAAAAAAAAACCTCTTGCTTCCATTTCTTGAAGTTCATTTTTATAAATATTATTTTGAATTATTATATGCATGAAGCTATTGAGCCTTTGTGAATCTCTCCTAAGAATATACTCCTTTGGTCTCACTGTGTGAATCTCTAGAGACCTGTATAATTTATCATGGTCCAGTGTATTTTTTTGTCTTCTACCATCCAGTATGTAAACTTGTAGAATTTTGGGGCATATTCTAGTTACAACAAATGAGGAAAACCAAAGAAACTATGTTTCTTTGGATCTAGCTTAGTTTGCTTAATATAAAGGATCAAGAAAATTTGGTATATAACACAATGGAATTATACTCCTCCATCAGAAAGAACCATCTATCTTATTTATCAATTACCTGAATGTTATGCGTCATGAATTTCCCCACAAAATTATCCCATTTGCAATCAGTTCAAGTTAGGTAGCTAATTGGGTTAATTTATTGACTTTACTCAGCACTAAATTTTAGACAGTAACTTTGATATGAAAAAGCAGTTAGTATGTTAAGGAAAAAGTACAAGGTGCATTTTTTAAGCTTGGTGTCTAATCTCCCATGTAAGCAGGAAATATCTGTGTGGAGGAGGCAGATGTGATTGTGATCAAGAACAACTGGAGTCACACTAATATGGTGAAGTTCTCTCTCCACATTGTCCTCACACAGTGTGGACTCTTTCTACTCTTACTCATTCATGGTGGGCCACAGTTGCTGATCAGATTCCTTGCATTCTACCTAGTAGGTTTCCTGAGGTCCTCCCCACCTGGGCTTCTCTCCAGGCTCTGTTTCCTAAGCTTCACACAATGCCTGAGACAGAGAAGTAGTGGACCAGTGTTTGTTTCACAAGTATATAATGGTGAGGATAAAACACTGAAGTCAATGATGAAGACTGAGGACAGTAGGTTGCATGTACAAGGCAAGAACATGGCTTGGAATCCTGAGAGTCATGGTGTGTGGAATGAGGGAGAAGGGGAAACAGAAGCACAGGACAAGCTGGTACAGTGAGGCTTGTTTGCTTTTGTTTCTGTTGTTGTTTAGTGTTTGGCTGTTGTTGTTGCTTTGTTTGGTTTGGTTTGACAGGATAGTTTAAAATTAGTAACACTCAGGAAATCCCAGGATTGAAAGCTTCTTGCCACCAAATGGAAATGTGTCTTCAAACATAAAAGAATTATACTGCCATTCATGGCATTGAGAAATTCTACCAGAAGTAGTTACTTTTTTTTTTTTTTTTGCTGGGGGTAAGGGAATGGGGATGTGGTTGGTCATGGGCCCTGAACTCTGGGCTTGGGCGCTGTCCCTGAGCTCTTCAGCTCAAGGCTAGCACTCTACCACTTGAGCCATAGCACCACTTCTGGCTTTTTCAGCTTATGTGGTGCTGGGGAATCAAACTCAGGGTCTCATGCATGCAAGGCAAGCATTCTACCACTCTATCACCTTCCCAGCCCAGAAGTAGTGAAGGCTATGGCAGGAGTTCAAGGTCAGCCTGAGGTATAAAGCAAAACCTTTCAAATAAGTAGAAGAAGAAAAGGAAGAAGAAGGAGGAGGAGGAGGAGGAGGAGGAAAGAAGAAAAGAAGAAAAGAAGAGGAGGAGGAGGAGGAGGAGGAGGAGGAGGAGAGCCGGGCGCTGGTGGCTCACGCCTGTAATCCTAGCTACTCAGGAGGCTGAGATCTGAGGATCGCAGTTCAAAGCCAGCCCGGGCAAGAGAGACCGTGAGACTCGTATCTCCAATAAACCACCAGAAAACTGGAAGTGGTGCTGTAGCTCAAGTGGTAGAGCACTCGCCTTGAGCTGAAGAGCTGAGGGACAGCCCCCAAGCCCAGAGTTCAAGCCCAAGCCTCACGACCGACCAAAAAAAAAAGAAGAAGAAATTCTTTTTATTAAATTAAGGCATTGATCTACTTCTAAATGGCCTCATATAGCTGGTACTACCTGAAATTTGTTTCCTAATAATAGAAAACTCTATCCATGAATTCCAACTACTAACAGAGCGATACATTTTATAATTTACAAAATCTTCTTATTTTAATATAATTAACATTAATGTGTATTTTATTCAAACATAGATATGTAATGGGAAATAATCCAGCTGGCCTGCTGGCTGTTGATTCAAGAACAGGTGTAATCACATTGAGAAATAGAGTAACCATGGAACAGTATGAAAGGCTTCAGGGAAGATATGAAGGAACCATTCTGTCCATAGATGGTAAGAAATCAACCTAACTGCTTTTTCTTCTTGAGGAAAATATACATGCATACATTATTGTTATGCTTTTTAAAAAGCTTAAAAAGTGGAGTGACTCATTATTTCAATATAACAAAAATAACAAATACCTTTTAAACATTACAATTAGGATCATCAAAAATTGTTGTCCTTAAGCACCTATGAGTGCGGATTAAGGGTTTTAGTCTTTTTCATTTGCTTCCTTCTATAATTTCAAACTATAACTAAATATCCAACTATTTATAGCAAACATAAATAAATAATAAATATCTAGAAAATAGGGTTCCCAGTAGAAAATAATAATTAGCTTAATTATAATGATATCATCATTGACAAGAGAATCATCAACAAGGGATGAAAGAGAAGTTATTACATTTCTGAAAATAAAGATATTGAAAGAAGTAATGATGCAAAAGAGAATAACTCAATGTTTTCTGATGCTTATTACAACCAAAGTGTAAAACAGTTCTGCCATTTTGAACCTATTACAGATTCTCTTCAAAGAACTTGCACTGGTACAGTTGTTATTGACCTTAATGGTTCTGGCTGGGCCAGTGGGCAAAGTAATTCACAGACCAATACAAACACCCCTAGTACGAATAACCAGGCCGGAGGAGGAGAAACCGGAGGAGGAGAAACTACCGGAGGAGGAGGCAACAGGGGCGATGTCACCACAAATGAGAACGACGTTACTCCCTCTGATGACTCTTACAATGAGCCAAATGATAATAATAATGGAAATAGTTACGAAACTAACACTGGTTCTTACCAAGGTGAAGGTGGTCTCTCAGATAATGTACATTTTGGTCCTGCTGGCATTGGGCTACTCATCATGGGCTTCTTAGTCCTAGGCTGTAAGTACTTTATTTTATTTGTATGTGCTCCCCCACCCCGTCTGCCCCCCCCAAAAAAAACATGAGGAGGGGAGAAATAACTGTTCTGATTTCTTGATGAAATATATTTTACAGCTCTTTAGACAGTGATGTTATCCAGACATTCGTATGCTTGGTGCTGGGTTTATAAAAACAAAATCTTTAAACTTCTTGTCCTCCTTCTGGAATACTAAAGGGTACAGACCTGTTCTCAGTTGAACTTAATTTGGTGGGAAAGTGTCACAACAAGCAAGTCCAAATTACTGAGTGGATTAGTCAGAAATAATTTATGAAAGCAATTATAAAAGCAAAAAGGGAGAAGTAAACTCTGAGTTGAGTTTTAATTCATGGGTAGACATTAAACAAGAGAAGAAGAATGTGATGCAAAATGTTAAAAAATTTTTTTTAGGCAAGCACTGGTGCTCACACCTGTACTCCCAGCTACTCAGGAGTCTGAGATCTGAGGATTTTGGTTCAAAGCCAGCCCAGACTGTAAAGTCCCCATGAGACTTATCTCCAATAAATCACCAGAAAACCAGAAGTGGTCCTGTGGCTCAAAGTAGTAGAATGCTAGCCTTGAGCAAAAGAACTCAGAGACAGCACGTAGGCCCTGAGTTCAAGCCCTGAAAACAACAACAACAAAAATATGTATTAAAAAAAAAACCAAAAGAATGAAAGAACAAGGTACTGAAATAAAGGACTCTCATGGAGAAGAAAGAAGAGGGGTACCTGAGTGTGGGATGAAACCTGAGGAAGAAAAGCAAAGCTAAACCTTGAAGAGATTTAAATTAATTTAACTCTAAGACTTTAGAGTTAAATTTGAATAAAAATGGAGTCAGAGAGCCAAATAGACATAGTTATTATCCAGGTTCTAAATTATCTCTCTCTCTCTCTCTCTCTTTCTCTCTCTCTCTTTCTCTCTGAGCCTTGCTTTTGTTATATGTGATAGTTACCTCGTAGTCTTAAATATTTCCATAATTATTTGAAAGAAGCCTACATGGAAAGTGTTTAGAAAATTCGGCAGCCACTAGAATAGCTCTGGTCAAGGATCTAGTTGTAAAAGAAGAACCTGGTGCTCTAGCTGATCTTTGGTGTTACCTTGGACACTGATAGAAAATAGAGTAGAGCTGAGCTGCATAGTAACGTATTTGAGGATGAGAAGGGAAGATCTGTAGTAAATACCTTGAAATCTTCACACTGTAATTAATGTGAGCATGAGCATTGCCATTTTCATGTGGATGAGATGGCACACAACTGTAATCCCAGTACTGGGGAGGCTAAATCAAGAAAATCACTTGTTTTAGACCAGCCTAGACAGCAAGACCACCGTAAAAAATAAATAAAGAAAACACTAGCATTGCCATTTTCCAGTGCAGAAGCATAAAATGTTGGCACCAGAACACAGTTCACAGGTGAAATGTCCCTTTGTTTCTCTAAAAACATAATCAGCTACAAACAGAATTTGTCATTAAATTTTATTAGTAAAGTGTTTGCTCAGACTTAACTTACCCTTTTGAACATTTTAATCACCATTCATCCATGTAAAATACAGAATTAGGCATACTGACTAAGCATTCATTCCTTTGAGATTGTAGCAATAGAAATAATGACTAGGAAAAGTATTATGAAAATAAGGATGACTTTTAAACAATATTTTCATCAAAATTAACATTGTTAATGAGTGTGATGATTAACATGGCAAAGTTGCAGAATTTAATATATATTAGAAGATAAGCTTTTAAATCATTTTGTTGGCCAATTAACATTACAAAGTTTAAATTTTACTGCTTTATAAAAGTAACTTAAATACCCAGGAGCTGATGATCACAACTGTAAATAATATCAAACTGTCATTTTAAGTTTTTTATATTGGTGATCAACTTAGGTTAGTTTGCTTAATTAAAGAGTCTAAATTATATAAGGATTTTAGCATCTAAATTATATAAGGATTTCAACGTCCATATTTCCAAATTTAATATTTTTTCTTAACCTAGCAGTTTCCAATAATTAAAACACAAAGGACTCTTTCTCTCCTTTTTCCCTCTTGTCTCCCTTTTTTCATTATTTCTGTACTTTCTTCTGTTTTGCTTCCTTCCTTTTCCTTTCATTTCTTTCTTAAATTTTAATTTGTATGTCCTTTCTTCCCATCCATTTATTCATCCATTCAAAATCATTCATCAAGTTCATATTATATGAAGGCAGTGACTCATTCTTACATTCCAGCACTCAGAACTCAGAGGCAGAAGAATCTTGAGTTTGAGGCTAGCTTGGGCTATAGCAAGTTCCAAACCAAAATGAGAGGGTTTCAAACTAGAAAAAGAAAACATTATATTATATAAAAGAATGAATAATAAGTAGACGAACAACAAAATTTCCAATTGATTAACCAGAAAGACACTATGAAAAGTTAGAATGTTTCAAGAGCATCTTTAAGTGTAATTTAAAGAAAAGTTATCTCTGTAGGGGAAAATAATAGCCTCAATAAAAACAATTGAGTATTGCGTAAGATTTCACTATTAAAGTAAATAAAGTCAGGCATGTGTGAAAACAGGAGCGTAAGTAAAAGCATAAAGGGAAAACAGAAGAATCAGACTCCTCCAATTTTCTTTCTTTTCCATTATTACCATGAACAATGACAAAATAATGAGTTAAGTTTTAATCCTGTAATTTTATATCTTAATAATATGAAACAAACTAAAATTGATTCCAGTCTGGTATTTTGAAGTTCATAGTTATTCAGTTCTTTTTCCTTTAAGTTTAGTGATAATTTTATAACTAAATCAATGTATATTAGGAAGTAAAATTTTAGCATAAATATGAAAAACAAAATGTCTTCCTTCAATATGACCTACTGCTAACTCTGTTATTCCCATCTTTCTATCATCAGTGGTCCCGTTCTTACTGATCTGCTGCGACTGTGGGGGTGCCCCTGGGGGTGGAGTTGGCTTTGAGCCTGTTCCTGAATGTTCTGATGGAGCAATTCATTCATGGGCGGTAGAAGGCCCACAGCCTGAACCCCATGTAAGTACTTGACCTTGGTAGTCAGCTCAACTCAATACCCAACATGGTTGCAATCATTCAACCCATACTATTCATAATTTAGGATAGGGAATGGGGAAAGGAAGAACAATTAAAACAAAAACCTCAAAATCAAATGGAATTAACCAGGGAATCCTTTAAAAAAATTCCATGTATTAAATGGTGTTCAAAAGTTTTGTGAATGAAATTAATTTAGGAAATCTGCAGTAACTTAGGAATAAAGAAAAATAATGTAGAAAAAGAAAAGACTCGTTACAAATGGAAAAACAGAGTTTCTTGTCTTTTAGGATATAGCCACTATCTGTGTGCCACCAATGCTACCTGGCAATGGGAACATAGTAGAATGCATTGACAACTCAGGTAAGAAAAAAACATTATAATATCACAAATGATAAGGAACTCTGTTCTGTATCTCTGTATATTTACTATTTTGGATGATCTTAGTTGTCTTTAAAAGTGTTTAAAGTAGTTGTTGTTCTTACATGCTGTATTTTCCAACCTCTTTCAATCATCAGAAAGTATGATGACCACTAAATTAGAATCTGCATAAACTCTCCATAAAGAGAAGGGCTGAATTATAACTCTAGTCAATCTTGTCAAGATCTTTTTAATCTAATAGAGCAATTTTTATTCACCCAAGAAACATATACACTAATTAAAATTAAAGACAACCCAATTAAATAGATCTGTGATTTATGGAGACTAGAATCTTATTCCACAATTCAATAATTCAAGATTGCTCTTACTTCACCTGCTTGTTATGAAAACAGAAAAAACAACTACATCCATTCTTGACATCAGCACAAACATTGACCTAAAAAGACTATCCAATTTCTTACATTGAAAGTAAGTGAAAGAATATGAAAATATTTCAGAGCTCTCAGCAAAGATTGTGGGCATGTGGTGAAGACTCTCCTTGCCCGGGGTTCAAACTGTGTCCATATAACTTGCCTTAAAATGGGAATTGAGACCAATGCATAGGTACACACCAGGAACAATTCAAACTTCACTACAGGTATATAGCCACAGTAGTAATAAAATAAATAAATAACTTTTTACATCTGTGAAAATATCTGTATCATGATATCTATTTCATAAATGTTAATAATTTATATTTTTCTCCTAGACATTTTTCAAAGTAATAATTATTTCTTTTCTATGTTAAACATTCCAAAATGGAATAGACATCAAAATGTTTACATCTTGTAACAGTAGATACATTAATGTTTACATTAGTTCTCCTCCTAATGTACACATACATACTAATATATGTGTGTATATTGTGTCTTATCTATATCTATATATTATATCCTAATATACATATATATTAGGAGAAATATCTATAACTATATATATTTAGTTATATATATTTAGTTATATATATATAAAATTAATGACACTGATACTCCACCACGAAAGCAGAAACTAATTGCTTACTCACATCTCCTTTTTCTTTTTATTTTTTCTTTTTAATTGTGAAAATACTGTACAGAGGGTTTACAATTACATGGGCAAGATAATGAGTAAATTTCTTATCAAGCATTATAGCCTCCCCCTTTGTTTCCCCTTCCCATCCCTTCCCATCCTCCCTCCCCACCCAATCCTCCCAGCTTCCCCCCAACCCCGCACCAAAGTTGTAAAGTTCATTTTCGACATAACGACTTGTACATCTCATTGATGCAATGGGTCCACCTGTATCCCTATTTAAACGATTTGTTTTTCCGCTTCCCCTCCACAAATTATACCGACATCAAATACAGTGAAAGCAGGGGTTATACTGTAGGGGATGGACATACAAAGCAACAAAGAAATAATCTTATAAATGTGTTAGAAACAATTGCATGAAAGAAAAAAAAACATTTTAGTACATATCTGACACATCTCCTTTTTCATTGGTTCTCAATCAGTTCTCAAGGCTTGTCAAACCGCCAAATCCACAAATATTTATTTTTACATCTACTCTTTCATTAAGGCAATAAATCTTTGCATAAATCTGAAACAATAAACTGCAGAAAGTGTCAGAGTAATTGAAGTATGAACATATTATCCTCAAACCCAAGACCTTTGACATATGAAGGCTATGAGACACCTATCATGCAAAGATTATTCTTCTCCCATGGACCTTCCATAGTCCAGGCCATCACGTTATCATACATCTCAAATACTGCAACAAGCTCAACTCTAGACTTCATACCCACATATAAATCCATTAAAACCTTCTTTTATCTATAGCCATAGCCTCTTCTCTGATAGCCAGTGGTTCCTTTGCCTTGTGAGTGCCTGTGCCTGCAATAATGCTTATTAAGTTTTGCTTATCATGGTTTTTAGCCTTTAGAATTTGAGTTATTTTTACCTCTCACTTTTCTCAGTTTGAATCAAGTTCTGTAGGGCATAGGTGTTGCAACCTCTGCACTCTCCATTGCAATAGATAGTTACCAAATCTGCTAGTTAGTTAATAGTACTTTGCACTCAGTGTCATCATAGTTATCTCTGCATTCCTGAAGTGACATTTTCAACTTATTTCTTTACTTGCAAATGCATGCTTGACCAAACAAACCCCACATTATAGCAAGTTAGTTTTCGCTTGCAATGTATTAGAAAATTTGAATTTATTATGATCACTTTTAGGAGTTTATACCAATGAGTACTGTGGCAGAGAAATGCAAGATATGGGAGGAGAAGAAAGAACAACAGGATTTGAACTAATGGATGGAGTTAAAACATCAGCTGCACCTGAGATATGTCAAGAATATTCTGGAACATTAAGAAGAAATTCTATGAGAGAATGTAGAGATGGAGGTCTGAATATGAATTTCATGGAAAGTTACTTCTGTCAGGTAAGATGTGTATCCATGTGTCTTCCACTCACTATATTCTAAGTGCTCACTAATTTCCATTGGGAAGCCTCAGTTCCTGATGTCTGGTCTTGATTTCCAATTATCCTGTTGTGGAATAATCTTTGTAAGCCTCTGGTGTGAGTACTTTACCCTCCCGCTTAAAAATGCTCAATGGCACCAAGCTCTCAGTGTACCACGCTCTCAGTGTACGGCTTCGTGCTTTTGCTTATGCTGAGCCCTTCCTTTCCCCCCCCCTCCACCCCCAGTCTTTGGGCTTCAGCTCAGGACCAGAGTGACATCTCTGACATTTTTTGCTCAAGGTTAGTACTCTACCACTTTAAGCCATAGCTCCACTTCTGGCTTTTTTGGTCGTTCATTGAAGATCATAGTCTTGTGAACTTTTCTGCCGAAGCTAACTTAAAACTGGGATCCTCAGAGATCAGCTTTCTGAGTCCCTAAGATTATAGATGTGAGCCAACAGATGCCCAGCTCCTGTATTTTTGTAGTGTTTTGTTTATACACTTTTATATAACTTATCATTACTAATAATCTGCTAGTCTGTAGATCTACCTCCACACTGAGCTCATATATTCTCTATATTATATTGCCAGAACTACCCTTAGTTCTAGGCACATAGTGAGTCTTCTACAAGAAGAGGGCCATGGTGTACTCCTAGAATGGTCAGAAAACTAAGTTCAGGTAATACACTAACGGTGAATCCTGGAGAATCAGCAGTTAACTTTGCTATTCCCAGAAAGATCCAATTGCCTGTGGTTATTTATCATGTGATACTAAATCTTCAGAAGGTTTCTATATCTGATTCTAACTAAAGCTATATTTCTCTAAAAGAGATTCTATTTTCAAAGCCCATCTGTTATCTCCTTCAATGTTGAATCCGTAAGTGGCACAGACCCAGGGTCAAATGTTAGTAATTTTTAAAAGCCATATTAAAATAAGACAATAACTGAATCTTCTAACTGAAGAAAGAAAAATATAATCCTGAATAAAACTATTGTTTATAAATGCTTCATTAAGAGAAAAAATAATTTAAACCTACATTTCTCTTTCTGTTTGTGTATACTATGTACAACATTTTATGCCTTTCCTTTTAACCTACTTATAAAATAGTTCATATAGTTTTGTATGTGAGCTTTGTCCAGTGCATAGCATTTTAACCAAGCCCATCTAAGTAAATTTCAAACTGTAAAATTCAAAATAGTGAAGATACCTATACCTATCTCTAACCAAATTATTTCAAGCAATTATACAATGATTCTTTAAACATTTCCCATAGACATTAGAATTGTGTTTTCCATATTTGCCATTGACAATAATCTATGAGGAAAAATACTAGCGTGGAGTGTTCTATTGTTCCTTAATATTACTCATCATTTCCTTTTCTCTTTCCTCTACAAATTCAGAAAGCATACGCTTATGCGGATGAAGATGAAGCCCGCCCATGCAATGACTGTTTACTGATCTATGACACTGAAGGTGCAGGGTCTCCAGCTGGCTCTGTGGGTTGCTGTAGTTTCATTGGAGAAGACTTGGATGAAAACTTCCTGGATACGCTGGGGCCTAAATTTAAGAAGTTGGCAGATATCAGCTTGGGGAAAGAAATCGAATCCTATCCAGACCCTGACCCTTCTTGGCCACCTCTGAACACTGAACCTATTATCCCTCAGCAAACAGAGCCCATTGCTACTGGACACCCACCAATCTCCCCACATTATGGTACGACCACCGTAATTTCTGAGAGCACTTATCCCCGGGGCCCTGGTGTACAGCACCCTACACCTATTTCTGATCCTCTGAGCTATGGCAATGTCACTGTGACTGAGTCTTACACTACCTCGGGCACTCTGAAGCCCTCTGTCCACCTTCATGATAACCGTCATGCGTCGAATGTGGTGGTGACGGAAAGAGTGGTAGGCCCCATCTCTGGCACTGATTTGCACGGAATTTTAGATATGCCTGACTTGAGAGATGGATCCAATGTTATAGTGACAGAAAGGGTAATAGCACCAGGTTCGAGTCTACCCACTTCTTTTACAATCCCTAATTCCAGAGAGTCTTCAAATGTGGTAGTCACAGAAAGAGTCATCCAACCAACTTCTGGCATGATGGGCAGTCTGAGTATGCACCCTGAGTTGTCAAATGCCCACAATGTAATAGTGACAGAGAGAGTTGTGTCTGGGGCTGGCATAAGTGGAATTAGTGGCGCGGCTGGGATGAGTGGAGGTGGGAACCTATGCACCAGTGGCTTAATGAGCACCAGCCTGGGTGCCAGTGGTGGGGGGTTGAGTGGAACTGGGGTAAGTGGTGGTGGTATTGCACTGAGCAACCTGGGTGGAGGTGGAGGCCTGAGTAGCAGCATGGGAGGCACAGCCACCATTGGCAATATGAGTTCCTCTGATCATCATTTTAGCCAGACCATGGGATCTGCCTCTCCGAGCATGGCTAGAAGTCGAATCACAAAGTATAGCACAGTACAATACAGTAAGCAATAAGGAGCCCAGCATGCTTGTTCACAATTGAGTCTGGATTCGGCCTCCACCTCCCAAATTTAACATTGCAATTTCTAATGCACATCGAGGTGCCAAGAAAATGGTGGAGCAAGGTGAGAAACCACAATGAGAACCATTCCTAGAAACATGGCTGTAGGAGGCACATTCTCCTTAGCATTTGTAAACTTTGTTTTGTTATGTTAATACGAATGGAAGAAATCATGCCAGTGAACTAAAACTCAAAGCACAGTCTTCTCTGTGTTCACATGGCCTATTGGGTCTCCTTTCCCCCGTGTGGCCTATAGAATAATCCGGCATGTGGAACTAATAAAATGTGGTCATGTAAAAGCACTGGCTTTGAGATGGCAATTGCCATAATTCTCCTTGCTCTGTACTGAATTGCCATATATCTCAGGCAATATTCAAAAATAATTAAACATGCTATCTCAACTCATGTGGGTGGAGACATTTGAATTCTCCCCCCTGTCAATGTCTCAATTAATGTAAATAAAATTCAAAGCACAGATTCAAACTAAGGTTAGCCACTACACACTTCTGACTCCCTAGTCAAATCTATCAGCCACCAGTTGCTGCTACCTTGACTACTCCTTATATGAACCAGATGAAATAATAAGATTCCAACTACAGAATGTGTCTTAGGAGCAAGATCATGTTAGAGTGGCAAGAGGGCACAATTTGTTCAAGGGAAACAGGCAGTGTCTGAGCCAGTTAAGGCTTCTATTCAGTCTCCTGTATAGTCAAGGACTTCTCAGATGCCAGTCTGTGTTTCATGGTAGGTGTTGTCTTGAATAAATAATTGCTTACTGGTGAGGTTCTGAGACATCATACTTGCCTTCCTCTTTACCTCTGTGCTTGTGTTATTAATAACATTTGCCAAGTTTGCTTCCTGGACTGAAGCAAGTGGTGCCTGATGGGGTGTTGCCCCAATGGTAAACGACTTTCCAAGCACCTGGATGGGCAATGCATTTTGTATTTTCAGATTGTGCTCATATCCAGCTCTTTATTACATAACTCTGAAGTTAAAATGACTTAACGTAAGCTGAGCTTGCAGTGTGGTTAAGCTTTAGGAAACTTTTTAAGGGGCTCTACAAGAATTTTTTTAGAATATATAAACTCTTTCAAAGGGGAAAACTGGAGAACTTTTCAATAAAGTAATGCCATACTAGTGATTACTTGCAACTGAGTTTAATACTTTTCTTTAACAACCCTCTGCTGACATTTTAAAGTGACCACCTAGGAACCTATAACAAAGAGGATGCTGTTGTAATGTCAACAGTGAAATAGTACTTAGCAACCCATTTTTCTTTTTGCTCTAGCTCATTCTCTACTTGCAAAAAGTTAAATTCCTTATTTGATCTCTCCATATGCTCCTGGCTTATAAAATGTCTGATGTGTAGACAGTTTGGAAATAATATCGTATATTTTTCTAGCTTCAAATTTTAGTGATGTGCAATTTTTGATTTATTATTTCTGTGTGTTTGCTATGTAATGCTACCTACCTAAATAAAATTCTCTAGAAAGAATCAAGCATTTTAAAATATGTCACTATTGCATGAAAAGGATTTTTATTCTTATTTTTAAATTCAGTGTTAATAAGTTCATTGGAGTGAAAATGGATATGACAAAATAAAAGTAGAAAAAGTATTTCCTCTGGGGTTGTAAATTATACACCAATTTTAAAGCTTTTCTCCTATCTGAATTTCCCAAGAGAGATAACAAAATCAAAGAATATTACTGAATTCCAACAAATGTTAAAGAGAACCTAGAGAAATTATTTTACCAGGAGCTCTTTTGCTCTACATAAATAGGAGATAAAGTTAATATTTTAAATCTCACCATATATATTCCATTTTAACTCTGTAGAATATGTAAAAATTTTATAACCAATAGCATGCCAAAACACAGAAAGTATAAAAAGATAGTCTAAGGGATTCTTTCTTTGATTTCTTTTGGCTAACCAAAGATAGGTAATTTTTCTAGAAATAAGATCATAAGGCATTTATTCCAATGTACTTGAGTATGCTTGGTTCAAAAAGTTGAAGGAATAAAAATAATTGTTAATTAATTATTGTCATCAGTTAATTAAAAAGAAAGGTTATTTGTCTTAGTAAATATTTTCCTAAGATGTCTGACACCTTCCAGAAACATTTTTTGGGTAGTCTAATGAACACTGATTGCTTTATTAACGGCTGTTAAAATGCATTATCTATACAAAACCAGAGAAAACATAATTTTAAGCAACAGTTTTAGCTATCTATGTTTCCAGGAAAGTATCTTCAAATCAAAGTATTTTTTTCCAGGATTGCACAATGATGTCCTACCTGTTTAGTATTAACCTTTACAATTATCCTTTCAAGACAGCACTAAAGGGCATTATTTTTTTGTTTTCAATTGACAGTCCTTGGGAAGGATTTCATTTTTATCTTCATATACTTTACTCCAGTTCACATGTGTAATTCTCTTACTGAGTTAAATTTGAAGAAATTTGGAAATCTTTCCATACGTCAATAGCAATAATTTAGATCCATATTTCAAGCTGGCCACACACCAACTTGCTCTTAAAGGAGAAAAGTAGATAGTAATTTAGCATTTTGCATATATGGTTGGAATATTTTTGTGACACTGACTTTTTAAAGGTTGTCTTCAGGCAAAAAAATACAGTTTATCATAAATTCTTTGTCATTTACTATCGCTAAAAATGCCATCTTGAGGTAATTTTGACATTGAATTCTAAATACATGGTTAGGTAGTATGCACTTTTACATATGTTCCCCGGTTTAACTTTATTAGCACTGAAGATTTTACAGAAAATGTATTTTCTAGGTTTATTTATATACCATCATCTGGACACTTGTCCTACATTTATGCATTAGGATCTTAGCATCAGAAGTTTTATTCTGTGTGATGTTCTGAAAGAATTTTAATTGCAACTCTTAAAAATGTTGTATTACTATATCTAATGAATGTTTCTGGCTACACAGTTTATCTCTGAAATTCACATGAAGATTTCATTGTCAGCCAAAGTATTATATATGTGACATCCTGTGGCTTGAGTAGAAGATTTAAAGATGTTATAAACGGTGGCAAAACTGGCCAGGGCTATTTAGAACTCAAGCAAACTTTTAAAAATACTTAACCCATTATCCCAAGCCTATTCAAAAAAGTGTAACCTAATTATGAAGGGAAAGCAAGTATTTCTGATTTGTTGATATTTTGAAAACTTAACATTCCATTAGAATACATGACTCCATGATAGATCCTTAGCATAAATGATACTGAATCTGTAATCTACTGCAAGGTGATTCAGTTAATTTAGGACAAAGTCTAATAATTTTGATATAATTTGAAATAATTGATAATTTATTGTCTGTCTACATTCCCTTCTAGTTAGTTATATTGTATTTAGAATAACTTATTTTTTCTTTTGCTGTTTCCTAAGCTTCTTTAATCTCTTATTCATCTTTGGTGATGTTTAAAACAAGTTGCTTTCCTTAAGTTTCCATATGAAAGTTTTTGGATTATTTGGGTAGCTAGTTCCTTACTTCATCATCTGTTGGCTTCTTCAAGACAGCTTGTAATTTCTAAAGCATTGTGTTTACAGCAATAAAGTGATTGATATGCCTCTATTATCTTTGCTGAATTATAAGATTGGGAAGGTTTTATGGTGTAAGAAATAATTAGAAGTTGTCAAATCTGGTTGTTATTTTCATCCCATATTTTGGGGAGGTAATCATTCTATTTACAAAATGCCAAAATCTATTTCTATTCTTCCATTCCTTGCTTCTTTTGTTCCATTAGAGGCCTACTGTTTACCTAGAGGCCTGCTATGGAAAGGACTTCCCAATGACACTAAACCACATCCATAACTAGGGGTTTAGCTTCATTTAATGAGACTTTTTTAAAAGCTTGAATTTAAAATTTTATTTGCTATGCTTAGTATTTTATACATTCATGTTGATTTTATAGTTTTACCTTTCTTTTACATACTTATTTTATCATTTTCTACATTATTATTTTATTTCTTTTAAAATGACTTTCCTTATTTGCTTATAAAGTCATACCATTTGCCATTAAGATAGTCATGTGGCTTCATAAGTATATAACAACTCTGACACGGGAGTATTCAGGAAGAACAAGGACACAGATGGGTCTAGAGAAAGTAAAGAAAGAAGATGAGGTGTGAGAGGAAAGAAGGGATGAGTGTGGCTTTGCACTCCATTGTAAGACCCTGACTCACTGAGAGTGGTAAAATCCACTGGAAAGTTTGGGATGAGCAGTGCTGATTGAATATTTATATTTTTAAAAACATCACTCTGCCTTCACAGTAGGTGCTCATAAAAGGAAATCAAAGAATCAAGGAGACTCACTAGAAAGATACTGCAGTCTTCCAAGTGAGTGATTGAACCACAGCTTAATAGGAAAACAAGAAAATATTATTACAGATAGATCAGTAAAGTAGCATGGACAGAGAACTTGGTTATAAAGTTGTTGAGCAGAAAATTAAATTTCAAATTCATTACAAATTGTCCCCAAAATTCAAGGGTAAATAGGATAAATATAAATGGAGAACACAAGGCTAATCACCTAATTTGAAAATGATGTCAAATTCCAGCCGTGGACTTGGTGACTGAGTTCTAATAAGCCAAATTCTTTTTTTTAATTTAATTTTATTTTTTGTAAGTTACAGTCAACTTTCATTTATTTATTTATTTTTCTTTTTTTATTGTGAAAATACCATATAATAAGCCAAATTCTTGCTAACAGATACACCTACTTCACTCAATATGATTTTTTTGAAACTTCTTGTACAAAATCTTCCTAGAACTATTCAGAGTATCAGGTTCTGATTTTTACCAAAGTTCACATCGATTTGACCTAGAATGTCACATTGGCACCCATCCACCCCCAACCCCCCCCACACACAGAGATACACTTTCTTCCATTCAATTTATGGAATATCATTTTCAGATGTATTCCACTTG